GACATGGGCGACTTAAAGGTAAGTAGAAGTTACCTACTACTAAAATAAGCCACTCCTTCGTGTGTGTTGTATAGTAACTTTAGTTAGGGCGTAAGGAGGATCTGTGAGTATTATATATATATATATATATATATATATATATACAACTAAAATTTATTTCATGATATGATGTGCTTACATTTTTCTAAAATTGAAATGATTTTGTTTTCAATTTACTAAAGTCTACTTTGAAGTTGATTTCTTCTCTATAGCATTTTAGTTTTGTGATAACTAGGCCACATTCTTAGTGTGCTTATTTCTATATATATTTCAAGTATATATCACTTTAGTGATACATTTTCTATGACTTTACATAGTATTATATTTTAAAAACAAGCAGTTCTTTTTTTAAACATAGTTTACATTAACCTCTTTTCTGCCTTTGATGTTATTTTTATAGGGTTCTACTGAAGAAGCCAGAAACTTTGCTAATGTAGTATGTTGTGAAAGTAATGGTAGGTTTCCACACATTTATGACATTTTTTTAACATTGGAAAGAGTACTTCTGCATATGTGTAATGGCCACATAAAAATTTTGTTTTAACAAAGTAATTTATAGCAATGGTGGATACATCTTTAGTGGGTTCATATAGTGTACATAACTTATATAATAAAAAATACTTTGAGCCACATGAATGTAAGAAATTTGAAATTATAAATTATATTATTTCCAAATTGAACATCTGGCTTCATTCTCTCTGTCTTTCCATCCCCGTGATGTTATCCCATCAAATACCAAGACATGACTGATCCATTGAAAAAATACAACCTTTCAAAATATTGCTAAGCATAATATTTTAAAGTAATAGTCTAAGTATTAAACATCTATTTAATTTACTTAGCAGCTTCTATTATTTCTTCATGTATGAATTATGTGTGAGATTATTGTGGGAAAAAAATGGAATGCATAGAAGCAAAATAAATGCTAGAAATAAAAATGATTGAGTAGAAATATAGATTTTACTTTGATTGATAAATGCTTTTTGTTGTTGTTGAAACTGTTCAGTATTATTTTTTTCATTGCTCCCTACACACACACACACCTTTTATTTTTGTCTTCTGGCTTAAAAATTTACATCTCAGTTATGTCTTTTATATTTCTGACTATGTGTGAATAGTTTTAAGGACTTCAAAATTAGTTTTAAAAAATACTAACTTGGAGGTGTTTGAATTTTTTACATCAACATAAATTTGTGCCATAGAGTAAATGTTTTATTTTTACTTAAGTTAAACACTACAGAATACTCCTCATCTTATTACACATGTTGCTATGATAATAAAATTTTGTAAGATATGTGCTCCATTTCATAAATCATTTTTTATCAGTGGACGAGAAATGGTAACATGAAGAGTTGACTTACAAGGGATAATCAAAATCCTGATATACTGGCATCAAATTATTAGTAAATTGTGCATTCATAATTTGTACTAATCGAACATGAACTATAAAATTAGCTAACTATAAATCTCTCCACTTTTAGTGTATTTCAACCATAGTGCCAAGTCATAACTGAGAGATGTTGAGTACATTCTTACAACACATTTATTAAAATCCTTTTTGGTCATATTCCATATTCTCTTCACAATTATGGATGTTTATCATGTAAATTACTAGAAAAGTAGTTACAAATAAAAAAAAATATTTGAAATTGAAAGGAAAACTTTCCTGTTACATACTATGTGCAAATTCTAGATTTCTTACTAGTAATCAGATTTCTTAGTTCTCCTTATTCAGAAATTCTTTTATGGATACCACTTGTTTTATGATAAAAAAATTTTTTTGCATTTATACATAGAGAAGTATCTTGTTTGAATAACTTTTGCTTAGCATTAAATCACTTCCTATGTTCTATTTGTGTAGTTTACACTTAACCCTTTCCAAATGGGTCACGGGGAAAGGCAATGTCATTGCGTTTGTAAACTCGCATTCAAAATTTTATTGAACTACTATTTCATGAACTTATGTCAATAAGTTTGGTATCAAATTGTGGATTATAATTCAAATTTTAGTTTATACATTACTCTGTTTCTTAATTTAAAAGTAAATATTAAAAACACAGTTAAACATTGATTTTTGTGTGTCACGTGGTATGTTGAATGCAGCACTGGCTCAAATTAGATGTTTATGATGTCAAAATACTAAGTCTGTAGTTTCATACGAGTTAGGAACTCAAATTACCAATATTGACAAGCTAGAATATAAAATAAGAACCTCTTATCTTTTCTACTTGTACTGAATCAAACACAGTGGCACCCCACCCACCTCTTTCCATTTTGGGGAATGCTCCCTTATATACACGTACTTCTATATATGGCATGAATAACCAATCGAAAGGTCAGAATGTTTTCCTAGTGGCTTTATTAGCCATTTTAAATTCTTAGTACACCATATCTTTTTTTAGAACCAAGATTTAAAGGGGGTAGGTCATGTCGTTAATGTGCTCGAAATTTCATATTTTTTTAGACTGAAATACAGCTTAATTACTAAGCTTGATAAATTATAGTGGAATTCTATGGTATTGATATAGTAATTTATGATTTTTATGGTTATTCAACTGCGTGTATATATAAAATCTAAAAAAAATTATTTTCTTTCATATCCTCCAGGTGCAAAATTTTAAAATGTTTAGCAATCTATGTCAAGCAACAACCGAGTACAAAGGTCGTAACTAGAAGAGCTAATTGTTTGCTTTACTGTTCTATTTTTTAAGAAAAATAAGTTTAAGAATTTATTTCTAAATAGCAATAATGTATATACATATATAATGTATAATAATTGAAATGTGACTATTTTACAAAATACTAATCGACTAAAACACAACCAAGACAGGTCACTTTGTAAAGACTAAACGTTAGTTTTATATTATTGGATACGGTAACATGAGTGCACATGTGCCGCATCATTGTAACTTCTGTATTGTTAGCCAGGCACGGCCAAACAGTAAATATAATAAATATATATAAATGTATAATGTTATGAGATTTAAGCTACTTAGTCTAAACATTTATATTTATATCCTATTTTTTTTTAAGGTGGTTATGAGAGATTGGTCAAATCTACCAAACCCATACAGAGATTCGTTATTGAAAATAACAGATGAAATATAAAGTTTTTTCTTAAGAAACATTTAATAACTCTCTGGACATTATAAAAATTTCGCATGTGAAATTTGACATAAGCTTACTAATTTAAAAATTATAGCTTGAAAACAAGCACAAAATGGTTACAAGTTTGATCCCATAATGAAAGAGTTAAGGATCATATATTTTTTAAAAAAACACATCACAAATCAGCATAATAGCATGGTATTAGGTTTTGTGTACAAGCACTAGATAGAACTTGGGTTGTCAGTATTTTGAAATTAATTGAACATAATATTCTTGAAAGCTTCAGCAGCTTTTGTAATTTTTGTCTAATTGCTTAAGTATTTTTAATATTTTTGTCTTCAGAAACACGACAAGTCGCCCATCAACTGGTCCAAGAAAGCTTTTCCACCTTACTTCAGTGTCACAAGTGTCATGCCTATTTGAGGGGAGTAGTTCATCAGGGACTCGTGTGTCAAGGTTAGAGACCACTGTAATAGAAGCTTGAGGTGTACTATTCTTATGTGCATCTCATAACATCGTACTGAATTCAGAGGATCTTTTTAAATATTTTTGATAAATTGTTAAATGTTAAAGGATTAGAGAAAAATTTGTTTTATGTAACGTAAACAAACATGCATAAAACTAAGAGAAGTAGCTAGAAAGCAAATAGAAACAACTTCCTTTCCTTTGTGGTATTCATATGTTGGTTATTTTACCTAACTTAGACTGAAATGTATGTTTATTTTCACTTTTGAGGCTATAGCCTGTTTGCCCTTTGGTTGTCATTGCACATATACAGGCAGAAGAGAATGTGTGGCTTGTAAACATTTGTAATGACACAAATATTCATGAAGAGTCAAGATTAATAGTCTGTTAAGTTCAATTTATTGTTTGTTGAAAGTTTTCACAATTGATATGGGTTTCATCTATATGCATTGACTCAGAATAATTTTATCATGTTTGATATATTTGTGGTTCCTATGAAATGGTAATTAACTGGAAGAAACCAATAACTTGAACACTAACCTTACTCATCACAAGGCATATTCTGGAATCTCCTGATATTTTTGTTCTAATCCAAGTGTTGCATGAGCTATTATTGGTATTTGACTTGTAGATCTAGATACATTTTTCATGCATGATAATGCAGATGTTATGCAAACATAGCTTATTTAAACACAATTTTTGGTTGCTCCAAATCTATCCAAAATGTCACGTTCCTAAGAATTAAGCTTTGTACATGTTAGCAGTTGGGAAATTATTGGTCTGTAATGTCGTCTGTATGAACCGTAACAAATTCCTTAAATTCAAAAGTAGTCTGTATTACATACCCCTTGCAATGGGTACTTGTATTCTATTAAATTTCTCTTTTATCTGCACCCCCCAGTGGCACAGCGGTGTGTCTGCGGACTTACAACGCTAGAAACCGGGTTTCGATACTCATGGTGGGCAGAGCACAGATAGCCAATTGTGTAGCTTTGTGCTTAACTTCAAATAAACAAACAATCTTATAGCTGCTCAGATTTTTAACAATTTTGTCTAGAGGACTTGGGGGGGCATCAGTAGGCTATGGTTGAATTTTTTCTAGATTTTTGAACAACACTTGTATTTTGAAACTTTA